GCTGAAGTCACGTTTATTTATAGCCACACAGTCATCTCACCAGAATCTTTCATGGTCGACGGCTCGATTTAACCGCTTTACTCTACAGACTGTATATAAAAGATGGAGGTGGCCACTGTGACCTCTTCTAGAACCCAGAGTTTGCCAAATCAACACCTGCCACCTTGTTACCTGCTAATTAACATCCAAATTAAACACTTGAGTTTAATTAGTGCATTCAACTGGAAAAAAGAGCAGACGCCAGCCAATGCTGCAGTTCCTCTAACGTCCAGCAGAGGCTCCAGCAGGGAGGCAGTCCCCCAGACTCCCATGTTAGAAGATCCAACTTTACAGCAGAAACAAACATGAACCTGAGGCCTTAATCAGGGGCGTGGCCTCTGCCAGGTGGATGGTGACACAGGTGGCTGTAGCTGCTAGCTGTCTGCTAACTTCACATGAACTTGACCTCTGCACCATGTTCGTGCTGTTGAATCATTTTTAATGGCATCATGTGAAAAATAATATGGCTGCTGTGAGGTCACTGTACCAACTGCCCAGGAAGCCTGAGTGATTATGAAGCGTTGTGAACAGGTATCCGTGTGTGTGTGTGTGATGTTCCTATAACTCCTAACTAAGCTAGCTAGCTGATATCTTAGCACTGCACCCTCTGTTCAGCTCCAAATAAAAGATGGTGCTGACCGTGAAGTGTCTAAACTAGTGTGTGATGTCATGGCGAGACTATCCAGCCTTTATAAACGAGTAAAAGGTTGACTTTACTTCACACACACACACACACACACTTGTTTACACTGCACTGAAATCCATAAAAGGCTGGCAGGTTACCGGTTTGTGATCTGAAAAAAGATCTTCCCAGAAACAAAGTCCGGGAACATTTCTATAAATAGCGTCCCCTGTGGCTGCTAAAGCGGTGTGTAGAGCTGAGAAGTGATTGCCGAATCCGTGAGTGCAGAAGCACCTCGAGCAGAGCTGGGTCGGCCTCGTAAAGCCGCTGATCGCTTTATATCCCAACAGTCTGCAGTCGGCTTCAGACGAGGGAGCAAAACACGATAAAACCGAGCGCGATCCCAGAGAGAGACGGATCCCACTGAGCATTTAAATACAGCCCGAGTGAAGCATTTAAACTGCATCAGCACTTGGAGCACAAGCTCAGCACAGGCGTGTTCTCAACTACAAACTGACTTGGGATTAGTGCAGCTTCAGACACACAACACAGAAAACACCACAACACAAATATGTGAAAACCTCTGAAAGGTCTGCCTCACTGATGCTTTCAGAGCCAACATCATGTTTGTTGTTGACATTTATGACATCTCCTAAATCTCTGCTTTTCCAAAGGTCCCAAAGAAATATTGCTCAGTAAAACGACAATCTGAAACACAACAAAACCGACGAAAACAGAGCGAAGAACAGGAGAGATTTATTAGAAACATGAGCAGGTTAGCAGAGCAGCACAATATCACCTTAAAATCGTGCCTCAATAGTTGAAAGAGAGCTGCGATAATGATATTTATGGTGGTAGGGACATACTGAGTGATGGCAGACCGCATGACTCAAAGTCAGATGTAAGCACAGGCATCGCCTCAGTGATGATTTCAGTGGAACAGCTATTTAACCGTTTACTTGAACAATAACTAGACTAACTAACCACACTCTGTCACAGGATGAAACTGAAACTTCCTGTGATGTTGTCT